GGAGCTAAAGATCACAGCTGCTAGTACACCATCCATTTGGTGTGATAATACAGATACTGTGCCCTTGCTTCTAATCCTGTTCTTCATGCTAAGATCAAGCACGTGGAATTGGATCTTCATTATATTCGCGAGAAGGTGGCTGCTAGAGTGGTTCATGTAGGTTATGCTTTTTGCAGACCAGATTGCTGATTTTCTCACCAAGCCTTTATCCAAAGCCTTCTTTGTGCATCTTCGCCACAAGCTACATGCTGTGGATTATGATAGTTTGCTTGCTTGTATTCCCACTGAATGAGTCTGATTAGTCTTTTGATTTTTTTTTCCCCGTTTGTCTTGAGTTCTGCAGGGGGATTTTAGAGTACACGTCATATATTGTCGAGTCTATTGCACATTAGTTACAAAGCACGTGTCATATGGGCCCATAAGTTTTGGATTTGTGACAAATCTATTGTGCCTATATATTGTAAGACTTGATCATTAATAAAGCAAGCTTCAGGCTTATCAAAATCCTCTCTGAACCATTGGTTCTGGTACTTTTGACTGGAACATCAACAACACCAGCATTGCCTGCCTTATAAGTTTTGAGTATTCTCCAGCGCCGATCTTCCAATTGCTGCTCCACCGACTAGAAACTGTTTTTAATACCACTTGCATCAATTCTATTAGGATTCACAATGGGATCAGATTTGTCAATGGGATTGGTCTTCCTCCTCTATTGTTTAGCGTAGGTGATCCTCTGCTAGCCCACATGGGCATAGTTTTAATCCAGTCAAAAATAAAAAATGAGGTGGATGCCACATGCACATGTCACCTAGGCATAGTTGTATAAACTAACAATCAAATGCTTAAAATTGGATGACATTGCTCTGTATTTGAAAGGTTGGGGTAATATTGCACTTTTCATGATTTAAGGATACCAATTGTCCCTCATGTGATACTTCAAGGGTAGATTAGCAAATTAACCCAAAATTAAAACCAACCAATAAGGAGAGAAAACTTGTTCTCCCATTAGCCTATCTTCTTTGAAGAGGATTGTCAAATTATTGGTTAGAGGCAATTTTAATGAGATAGCCTTCTCAATACTTCATTGATTGAGCACCCCATTTTTCCTGACATGATTGAGAATAAAACTAGAAAATTGTTGATTTATACTCCCTGGTCATTATTTTAAGAAGTTAACCAACCTTACAATTATTAAGAATTAAGAAATATTAGCTATAACTTTAAAATTGTAAAAAAAAAATAATAAGTAATTTTTCAATTGTATCCTTCTCTGCAATTAATAGCCATAATAAATTATTATCTAAAAATTCAAATGACAATAGATAAATAAAGGGAAAATTGAAGGAAAAAAAAACATCATTTACTCTAACTTTACCTTATATTAAGAACCAAAATAAACATTTAAATTGTGTTTTATATTGAGGATCAAGATAGGAGTACACTTTCAATTAAATAACTAACTTTTATTACTATTTATATGCAAGATTTAATTAAAAACAACTTTTATATAAGAAAAGGGGAGCATACTTTACAAGTTTATGATCCAAGATTACTTAAAAACTTGTGCCTTTAGCAACCTTAGATTTATGATCCTGTTGTGTTCTCTAGCTATCTTTGAAAAACTCTACATTATATCTGATATGTTCTATGTTTGTTAATTAACAGTTCATTAACTTGTACGGTTGCCGCTACGCTCTACTTGATGTGATAATGAAAGCCACCAACATGATGATTCCTGCGAAAGTAGCTGTGGTGTGAGGATATGAAGACGCTAGTCAGGGATGTGCTATTGCACTGAAGCAGGCTGGTCCTAATGTGGTTGTGTCTGAGGTTGATCCCAACCATGCCGTTCGAGCTCTCCTATGTGGTTTCTCAGTTATTAACACCCTTGATGATGTTGTTTCCAAGGCTGACATATTTGTTACCACCAGTATCAACAAAGGCAATAATATCATTGCGGTTAATCACATGAACAGAATGAAAAACAACGCCATTTTCTTCAACATCGATCCAATATCGAGCGATCAAATCAAGAATATTTATGTTGGACTCCACCAATATTTCTCTGGCATGAAGCGCACCATCGTGAATCATCAAATTGACAGATGGGAATCTCCTGAGACTAAGTCTGGCATCATGGTAGTGACTAACACAGGATACCCTGATTTTATGATTTCTTGGTCTCGCACGATCCATGTGGTCTCGCACAAGTACTGAGGCGATGCAAAGTGATAAAAAGAGGATATTATACATTGGAGTTCAAGCTTGTTCAGTTTTTAGCATTGTCGTTCTGTGTCTTAGGCTTCCAAAGTGAGCGTCGAGCTCTCTCTTTCTGCTGTTTGGGGCTAATCAAAGTGTGTGAGAAAAAATGAGAAAGGGACTTTTTGACTTCTCTTTATTATTTATTTTTCTTCCGGTAAACACTTTTTTTTGGTAAAAGTGGCACTGGCAAGCAAGAGCTTGGAATGAAAAAGCATAATCACCGGGGATTATGCGCTGGTGTCGGTAAACACTCTTTCACTTTCTATCTTTCGTGTTTATCTTATCTTTTCTTTTCTTTTCTTTTCTTTTTTTCCAAAACACAGAGAGTTTTCGGCACAGTAATCATGCAAGGAAAAGACAAATTATGGCATATATCAGAGCACAAAAGATTTCTGCATTCTAAATGTAGAATATAAAAAATTTAGACATCTAATTTACTATTGTAAGCTTGATGTGCCAGATTATCAGCTCATTTATTGATGTCTCTAGGCATATGATCAAAACTAATCATTAAATCTCTCATAATAAGTTTCCTCAAAAATTGGTCAACCAATCCCTCATTGTATGGTTCTCCTAAATTTGCTTTTTGATAGAACCTTGATAATTAAGTTGACTCAATAAACAAGGCCATTTCCCCCCCCCCTTTTTTTTTTTTTGATAGAACCTTGATAATTAAGTTGACTCAATAAACAAGGCCATTTCCCCCCCCTTTTTTTTTAATCTTTTGAGATTATAGTGTCTTGTGCTGTTTAGGGCTTAGTGTCACAGGCTATTAGTCTTTCTTCAAAAAACTAGTTCAATAAGGCATACAACATATCCACTTATATGGAACGTAAGAGCTCCACCAACTAATTCATGATGCCTCTATCACGAATAACCTACCAAAAGGACCCACCAACTTGACAAACCCAAATTCAACTGTGATATCACTTTGATCCCCCAACTTGGCAAACCCAAATTCAACTGTGGTATCACTTTGTCATGGATCACTATTCTCTTCCTAAAAAACTAGCTTAATGAGACATATAACGCATCGACTTATAGACCCAGAATCCTTCCCAAATTCTTTCGATATGGGATGTAACATTAAGCTTCAGCCTTTTTTGTTATGCAAACTTTTTGACTTTATAAGCTTTTTCTTTACCATGAAATTAATTATTTCAAAAATTTTTATTTTTAAGATTAAATTTGACACTCTAGAGTATAAATTAAAATGTTCTAAAAATCAAAATCAATTATACAAATACTAAATTTAAGGCACAAACACATTCTAAAGTCTAACTTTAATCCAAACATGTAAAACATCCCAATTTTTTGGGTTTAAAATAAATACAAGCTTAAATGAGTAATTCACAATCAAGCTTTTTTTTTTTCCCCCACCTTTTTAGCTTTAACAAGTCGAAGTTAGAAACCCTTTTATATTAAAATACCTCAAGTTTCAAAGTTCTAACAAAAAAATTAGCTTAAATTGATAGCTTAACAAGCTCAGCTTATATTCTCAACTCTACTCTTTATTTTTCTCTTTCTTTTGTTGACTTTACTTGAATAAATTAGCTAGGATCTAACACAACTTTTGGAATTTAAAGAACTACCAGTGACTCTAGTCTTCAAAGTTAAGCTTTGAAGCTTGATGCCACGTTAGAGATGTCCAATTCCATTACTGGTAGGGAAGAGGAAGGTAGGAATATAAAGAACTTAAATCCAGCCCAAAAAAAAGAAAGAAAGAAACTTTAAGACGAAAGAGGAATTTTTTATTTTTTAGCTTGTCAACTTTATTAACAAGAAAGCATTCTTTCCAAACACAATCTTACAATCTTATAATGATCAATTCTTATTTAAACTAGCAATCATTTACATTTTAGCTTAAATTAAAAGAAACTGCAAAGTAATCAGATGGAGGCCATTGCCAATGAAATTGTGAAACGACTTCACGATTCTATTTACACACCAAAATATGCTGTTCAATAATATCCAATGATGCGAATTTACTTGGTTAGAACTTTTTTAGAAAAATAAATGAATAAATACAAACAATCTACTCTCCATGTATGAGCTCTGAAGTGAGAAATGTGAGTAATAAAAACTACAAAATGGTTCAGTTTCAACACAACAGATCAGAACTTCAATAATAAAAAATTAGAAAAAATTAATCATTTTCTCTCTAAAATTTTGACTAAGTTGTATCTCAATCATTAAACTTTGACTAACTTATTATAAATCAATCCTTATAATTTTAACTTAATTATAACTAAATTCCCAACCTTTGACTTGATGAATCCCTATAGTTTGAAATAATTTTAAAATAATTTTAATCCTTATAATTTTATTTTGTGGTAAATTTTTATAATTTTATTGTTTAAAATATAGAGTGACTTACATTGAGTCAAAGTTTGTGAATTGAGTAATAATCAAATCAAAACCAAAAGGACCAAGTTAAAACGTGTCAAAGTTCAAAAACAGAATTACAACTAAGTCAAAATTATATAAATTAAATTATCAATTTTCTCAAAAGATTAAAATGGTTGGTGAGGTATGCCATGGCATCTTGACAAGTTCACAGCACTTGATGCTTAATTTTTTTAGTTTTTTTTTTTGAACCCCAAACTTGGATCATCTTCACATACATACATATATATATATATATATATATTGAACCACCCAATATCTAGAAGTTACATTACCAAACACTCTTATTAGATATAATGCAACGTTTTTAAGCTATATAGGCACTTTGGACAGGAAAAAGTACTCACTGGTTTCTCATATCCATGTCTTCTGTTTGTTTCTGTACTTCTTAGACTAGCTAGGACAAATTCATAATTCAATAGGTAACATAACTGGACATATATAGGAGTAATTAGATGGAGTCTAGTACATATTAATCTCTTAACATAGAATTATAACATAGAAAAGCAAAGGATGGGATTCAGGACTACTCTTGTCAGACAATTGAAGAGTTGCATGATGGATATATAGACTTCGATCGTCACCTAAAATTACATTCATTCTCAGGTTTTGATCTTACAAATCTATGAAATATGAGTTTCTTCAATATTCAGATTGAAGTGATCACCAGATTCAACTATGATAGTACTACAACACAAGATCCGGTCAAGACCCTGTTCAGCGTTTTTGTCGCAGTTCCAGAAAAAATTGATCTAAAATCTTTAATGACATTAAAGAGAATTGAAAGTGTAAGATCAACAGAAGTTGGTTGAGTATACAAGAGATCCAACAACAGAGTTCAAGCACAGAAAAAATTGATCATGATAAAGAATAATGAAGCTTAATGTAACCAAAACAGATGATAGGAGATTGGCCTTCAACATGAGTTTTTCTTCTATTTCCTTCTAGACTTTTAGTTTCATTTTGTTTTGGTCTTTTATAACAATGATTTCCAGTAAGAAAACAAAAAATCTTTCCCTTGCAATCTCAATCAGATATCAAAATCCTAAACACATACAAGGCAAAGGTTGAGTAACCTGTGTCACACTGAAACTTGACAGATTAAGCAACTATGTACATGCAATCTTTTCAATATATCTTTATCCTAATGCATATTCCCATACTGAAAAATTATACTTTAGATGTAGGAACTGAAAAAAAAAAAACAGAGAGAGAGAGAGAGTCAATTTATAATTTATTGTAAAACCATGTGCTTCTGGAGAAACCATTTTCAATTGTAATAATTATGAAGACAACCACAGGTAATAGATCAAATTTGCAACTAAACTTTTGCCCCCTGTGGACTTACAGTCACATATTTTAAAAGCACGTTGTTTATGAACTTGATTCTTACTTTAGGACAAGAATTCAATGAACAGAAGATTCAACCCAAATATCTATTAAATTCAATACATTATACTATTTTACATTGAACCAAATATAAAACATTCTCATACATAATCAGTCACATATGTTACAAAGTAAGTACATGATATGAGCTCACAATGAGAAAATAATGACCATAGCCACAGAGGAAACCTCATAACCTAAGCTAGAGAAAGAGGGGTAAAATAATCTCTTCAACTTCGAGTCATTTGCAAGCACACCCTCAACTTTTAAATGAGAAAAATATCCATGAACCAAAGTTTCAAGACTTGAATCCTTCTGTCGCCCTTATCATCAAATGCTGTCAACAGAGATGCCACTTCGAATGGTTTTAACTGTCAATTGTTATGCAACTCAAGTTCCAATCCTCAAAAGTTTGTCTCTCAAATCAAACTCAAAATGTTGGATTGAAGGGTTTTTTAACATGTAGTTGGAAATCTTTGGTGCAAAGTTTGGGGGATTTGGTTGTAGACACATGAATGAACAGATTAATCACAATCCTGAAGAGTAATAGCTCAAGGGAGTATTTTTCTGGTATCAAAAGTTCCATAAAGTGCTTGAAAATCACTCAAAGTTGAAAGGGGAATTTCAATGGGGCAAAAGATAAAAAGGGGTTCAAGGGAATGAACGAGGTACAGCCACAAAGGCACTCAAAGAAAAAATTGACATGAAGTGTAGGTTTCTCAGTTACCTCTAGCACATGTAGTGATTATCTCACAGCCTCTTTGATAGGGATTTGCTGGTTTGGCATGACAATTATAGTATGAAGCTCCAGGTCTGTCACAAGGAACCATGTCTCTCCTGAGAGTATCGTAACTGATAAACTTCTTCTGCATTGCCAGAATTCTTCTATTGCTCTCAGAATCCATCGTCGTCGTCTCAGTTTCTCTCAAGCTAAAGCATTCCTCAATGCTTCCTGTGCAAACCCTCTTTTTCGCCATTATGTCAGAAGACACTTCACTATGCTCCAGCAAATTGAGGTCCGCAAGAGGTAGGCCATGGCAGATTGGGAGAACAAGTTCCAGATAAAGGAAGGCCTTGAAGAAGAAGATGAAGAGTCTGGATTGAGACATTGTGTTTGGATCTTTCTTGTCACGCAGTTTTGTTGTTGTTTTCTTTTTGGGTTTTTATTGAGATTTGTGCTGTGAAAGCTGGAATCTTTGGTGGTTCGGAGCGTAACCCAGAAGTCAGAAGCATTTATTGTAGTTGTACAATTCATTGATATTACCTTTATGCCAATGATGATGATGGGTTCGAATTTGATAAACAGGGGATTATTCACCTAATCAGATTGATTAGGATTTGGGACGCAGTGTGATTTCGGCTCCTCTGTTCACACCATTTAAATATTACGAAGGATCTAAAATACTTACGACTGATATTACCTCTGTTCACACCATTGTAGTGGCATTTCCATTTGAGATGCTGATTGCCGTGCACCGCCTTATTCATGTTTGTGTCAATTTAGATTAACTTTATTCCAATCAGATTTAAAATACTTAAATATATCAAAAAGCTCACAGAATCAAACACAACCATACGGATTTGCTTATTTAAGTTAGTCCAATATCCAAATTATTAAATTTTATTTTATTTTATTTTTCTTTTTTAATCAATTTAAATTTTTATATTAAAAAAATTAAGATTTTAAATGTTTATATAATTTTAGTTATATTTTATTAATTTCTTAGTGATAACAAAAACAAAAAATTCAGTTATTTGGGTTAAATCCATTTAAGTTCAAACTTAGTTCACAATGTTTTTAGCTTTCCTAAGTGGCTTGAATAAAATTAAAACATTCAGGTTAGTCCATCAAGCATAACCCAAATTGCTTTCTCTAATTTCCACGCGGTAAAGGATGAGTTACAAACTTGCAATTGTAAGCCCTTGCACCACACCACGTTGCTTATTATAAATGAACATTATTTTATTAAAATTTTAAAAATTTAAGAGATGTTTAATTCATTAATTTATATAAAAATAAAATAAGTTTCAAACTTTCGAAAAGAAAAACATTATCAACGAGTCTTAGAAGAAGGAGCAATCACCCGTTGGGCAAAAAAAAAAAACAAAGAAAGAAAAAAAAATTTGATCCTCATAGTTTTATTGAATTTTATTTTTAATCTCTATAATTTTTTTCTATATTTTCAGTCTCTATAATTTTAAAAAGATTGAATGACTTTTATTTTTTATGTCATTATAGTTTCCATTTTTTCAATTGTTTTAGTCCCTACAAGGATTGAAAATACTGAAAAAAAAATTATAAAATTTAAAAGTAAAACTCAATAAAACTATAAAGATTAAAGATTATGTTTCAAAAAAAAAGAATAATGACCACTTAAGTACAATGTCTCAAGTTCTTTCATTAGATTGATTAATGTTGGAATTTGATTCAATAAAAATTATATAAAAAGAAGGAAAGAAAAACACTACATTAGGGTTTAAATCGCTTCTAATAAACTTTAGGTTAAAAGTGCAACTTTATCCTTAAACTATTTTCAGAGGAATAATATTACCCTTAAAGTACTCATCGTAGCAATATTGTCCCTAAACTAATTAAATCATAGCAACATTACCCCCATCATTTAAATGTCCGTTACCGTAGCTTGTGGGACCTACTTTTCTTGAGTTAAGGAATAATTTTGCCCTTAAAATATTCTTAAAGGAGCAATGTTATCTTCATTGTTTAAAAATCATAAAATTAAATAAAAATATAATTATAATAGTATTAAACAAAAAATATCAAATGTATATATAAAATAAATATAAGAAAAAATTATATTATAATTTTATAACTTGTCAAATATAAGTAGATCTTAGTTAAATTAGTTATGAATAGACTCAAAAGTATCTACATTTATACTTATAACTATCGATATCTTTATTAAAAAAAGGTCTCAAATCATATTTTATACATGTAAATTATTCAACAATAAAGTTAGCTTTTAGTATAATCTAATTTTATTTTTTTAAAAAAATTAAGCTTTTTTTAATTTATGTTTAAAACAGTCCGATTTTTTGAAAACTGCTCCAATTCCCAATTCAACTTTAGTTTCTGGCTTGATAACGACTTAACTCTTATCCAATCCAACTCAATCATAAAAATAATTTTTTGATCCAAACCGAATCATTAACGACAGCTTTGGTCGATATTTAATAATTATAGGTGCAAATACAAATACTTTAGAGTTTACTCATATCTAATTTAACCAAGATTCACTTATATTTTACAAGTTATAAAATTATAATTTATAATATTATTAATTTATGATATTTTATTAACATACTATAAATTTTTTCCTATATTTATTTTATATATACGTTTAATATTATTTTATTTAATATTATTATAAATTTAATTTTATTTAATTTTATAATTTTTAAACTATAATAGCAACATTGCTCCTTTAAGAATAGTTTAGGAGTAACATTGCATGAAAAGTATGTTCCACTATCTACAATAACGGACGTTTAAATAACAGGGGCAACATTACTCTGATTTAATTAGTTTATGGACAACATTAATTGGTTCTTTAAGAATAATGTAAAGGCGAAATTGCATATTTATTCTATACTTTAACTGGAATAATATTAGAAAAGAATAATTAATAAGGATGCATCAATTCTTTCTAAAATATCTCCCATGCAAGTGGCCAAAAGAAATAAATAGTTTTCATGTATTTTTTTATTTTTTATTCCAACTATCACGAGCATATTTATTTAAGATTAAAAAATAAATAATTTTTAGGTAATTTAAATATTTTATAAAAAGATATATATTTTGTAGAAATTTTATAAAAAGCAAATATTATTTTATATTTGGTTACAATAATAAAAAAAGTGATTATTAGTTAATTATTTTTAAATTTCATAATATCTTCCTTGATTTTTGGTATATAAAAGTAATTTATTATTATATTATTTAAAATTTTATGATATCTTTGTGTATCATACCATTTTAAAACACTTTTTTTATTTATCCATTAGATTATTTTAAGAAGATATTCAAAGTAACTTTTTCAAATAATTAGTAAAGTATCTATGCCATGAATGAGTTTTTTACAACAGTATTTGTAAATAGTTGTCATTGTCATAGGAAAATCTTTTCTAAAACAATAACTTTTAGAAAATACCTTCTCTATATTATTATTCTATGCATAGTAAGATTGTGTAATTATCATCATTTATATCAAATATGTATATTAGAGCAAAATAAATAATAAAAACTAAAAGCATGCTATGTAAATGGATACAATAGGAAACAAATTTAAAAACATAATTTTTTGAGTAAAATACATGGACCATCCTTTTATTATATTTTAATTACACAGACATCTTCTCTATTTTGAAAACTAATGTAAGCTTCCTTTAAAATTAAATATATATTACATAAACCTCTTTTCTATATTTGAAATTCTATTTTCATTCATTCAACTATTAGTCAACCATTAAATTTCACTTTTGAACTTTTAATTTGATCAAAATGCCCATCTTTAACATAAGAATCATCCAAAAATCTATATTTTGTAAAACAAAATTTTGTATACAACGAAAAGAATAGTAAATACATATTCAAATTTTATTACTTCCTCCATTTAAAAATATAAGGTATTTTTTATAAAGTTGGATGTTTAAAAATATAATACATTTTTAGTCTTTTAAGGTGTAATTATTGCCTTTTTTTCAAAAGTGCCCCTATTGATAGTGACTTTATATTTATTATAGAGTGTTTAATAGAAGTAAATATAAAAAGATAGGATTAGTTTGAAAGTAGATAACTACTTTATTAGGGGTGAGATTAGGTTAAAAATGTCTTACATTTTTTAATGGAGGAAGTATATTATAAAATTTATTAATTTTTATCATGTTATAAAATATTAGATTTTAAATTTTATCAAATTTTTTTAACTTACTTTTGTTCATCTCATAACATAAAATGATATAAGTTCAAGAGATTTTATAAATAATTTAAATTTAAAATTTGTAAATATTCTTTTTACAATGAACTGATGTAATTGTAAATAATATAATTTAGGATTCATTAGGGTGAGGGATAATTTAGTAAATAAAATTTTTTTCAATACAAATTTTAATTTAAAAATATGTTTTTAAAATATTTTTAGAATATTCCTAACAGAGTTAACGGCTTGAACTAAATTGTATGTTTTCAAAATAGAGGGGAGGTTTATGTAATTAAGGTAAAGTAGAAGGGTAGTCAAAATATTTTACTCTGATTTTTTTAGAATATCAAAGATATCTTGATAAATGACATTAGAAGTTATATATGTGGAGTGATCATATTCATCAATAATTAATATTTTTAAACCCTCCCTACTTCAACACAAAGAAAAAAAAAATATATATATATATATATAAAATTAGCTGTGAGTGAAAATAGGATGTGGCAGGTACAAACAAATATAACAGGCTCTAGGCTTGACTTTTATTAATAGTCATTGCAAAGGCTAACATGATAGGGAATTGTCTCCTAAGTGGCGGAGCCAGAATCCTAGTTCACCAAGGGCAGTGGTAGAGTCAGGATTCTCAACACAAGAAAAAAAAAATTTCTCTCTTCCAAGTACACTATTTCTTTTTCTTTTTTTATTATTCTTTATTTTTTAATTCAACCTTGCAAGTACAACGAGCTACAAAAAAGACATTTAACAAGTTTACTCTTAAGTCTTGAATCTTCATTTTCATCGCTTTTTCTTTTTTTCACTAGCCTCTAACTAGCATTTGAGATGAGGATGACATGGCTCTAATTTGGTCAAATTAGATTTTTTCTATTTTTTAAAAGATTAATAAATAATATTGATATTTAGATATAATGAAATTAAAGACTAATATTCACTAAGCTTTGAGTTAAAAACTTAAGTTTTAGATTTAGGCTATAAAAATAAGATTGAAATGAGTTTAAAGTTTAAAATATTAAAATAAGGAAGCGCAAAGTATAAAAAAAGAGGATACAAACTATAAAATATCAAAACTTATACCCTACGCATGTTACTTTTCCCAAGTTGAGGAGGTGCATATGACCCCAACTATAAGTAGTTTTGCCCGTGGTCTCCTTCTCATGGTAAATGATAACTTGAAATCAGATGAATACATAGTAATATACGGCATACATACTTTTGTTCTTGCATTTGATCCATCTATTTCTTGGGCCTTGATCACATATTTTACAATTCATGTAATTATGAGATATATATCATTATACAACCTCATAGACTTATCAATATTTTGCTTTAAAATCATTGGGGCACCCACTTTGAGTCTTATTTCATTTGGGAGGCTTGACATTATAATTGAATT